CTCCCTTGAATCTTCTTCTTTCGTCATGTTTTGGGCTTGTCCCACGGTACTAAACCTTCTTTGCATCCCTTGGAGTGCCTCCCTATTTCCATCATTTCCCATCTCTTCATCCTTCTCTCTCCCCCTCTTTCATATTACTACTACGAGGCTCTGCTGGGGGTCGTCCTGTTTTGGGCTTGTCCCACAGTACTAAACCTTCTTTTCATCCCTTGGAGTACCCTCCATTTCTCCCACTCTCCACTCTGATAGATCTTCCTCCTCTCTTTTCTCTCTTCTTTTCTTTTATCTTCCCTTCTCTTCTTCTTTCATTCCTCTTCTGTTCTTCTTCTTCTTCTTCCCTTTCTTCTTTCACATTTCGACTACTCTTAGGAGGCTCTGCCAAGGTCCTTCCTATTTGAGCTTGTCCCACAGTATTCGATCCTCAAGGCATCCTTCGGGGTATTCAAACTTCAGTTTGATGCCTTTTTGTACAACCATTGATTCCTCCTAGGGGAGGTGGCATCGAAAGGTTGTCGGATTGCTCAATTCCCTTTCTCTTTGGTTAGATGCCTTGATCTCGCCCTCCGGGTTGAGATCACCAGGTAGCGTGGCTTGGGTTCGAGATGACCAGAGACCTGAGATCGCTCTCTCGGGAACCGCGTAACCAACCGGTGAGAGAGAAATTTTGGTCGTGAGGCGTGACTCACCTCACATGGGTCTATGACACACTCAGGCTGCTCGCGTGGGTGCCCACTTAGATTACGTAGAATGCCCCCTAGCCTGTGGCCAGTTCAGAATCGCCTCCTTGACCTGTTTCTTCTGTCCTGAAACCGTACACACACATTAGAATACAGACAAGTGGGTCAGAAGACCCCACCTTGTCTTTGAATGAATGCACACAAACATGTACATTGGAGGGGAAGATGATGGAACGATGCCATTGGGTCCATGTCAATTGGACAGCCTTCCGACGACTTTTAACAGGGGACTTACAACATCATTTTCTTGGTGGAAGAATGAGGGAAAGGAGATGAGATGAAGAAAGTACATGAGGAAAGAGAACAAAAAGAGGGGAGAATAGTGAGGGAATAGAGAATTTAAGAAACGAAGTTTGGCTTTCACCTGGTTCTTCAGAGAAAGAGAGTAGAGAAAGAAAAAATAAAAATGAAGGCTAGTTTAGATTTCACCTAGCTCTTCAGAGGTAAAGAAAGAAAAATATTTGTTTTAGAGAGGACAAAATAAATAAGAAAGAGGGTAAAGGTTACCTTGACTCTCGCTAAACCTTCCAAAAGGGGAGAAGAGACTAAACGAAGGAGAGAAGAAGAGAGAAGAGAGAAGAGAAGAAAGAGAAGGGGGTGAAGGTTAGCTTTGCTCTCGTTAAACCTTCCAAAGGGGGAGAAGAGACGAGAAGGAGAGAAGAAGAGAAGAGAAGTGAGAAAATAAAGAAAGAGGAAAAGATTAGCACAGCGGCTAGACTGACACGACGGCGAGACTGGCACAGCGACAAGATTGGCACGACGACTAGTTTGGCGCGGCAGCTAGACGGGCATGACGACTAGACCGGCACGGCGGCTAGACTGGCACGACGGCAAGACTAGCAAGTCGGCAAGACTGGTACGGCGGCAAGACTAGCGCGGCCACAAGGTTGGCATGGCGGCAAGACTGGCACGGCAGCTACTCTAGTGCGGCAGCTAGACGGGCACGACGGTTAGACCGGCACGGCGACTAAACTGCACGGCAAAAAGACTGGCACAACGATAAAAGGCTCAACCTTACCATCTAGTCAAACAAGCAAAAGAGAGAAAGAGGAGAGGAGAGAAAAAGAAGACAGAAAGAAGAGGGGAAAGAGAAAGAAAGAAGATAGGGAAGAGAGGGAAGAAATGTTATGCTCGCCGGTGGATACTGCCGTGTCAGACAGAAATGTCGCGCTCGACGGTGGACACTGCTGTGTCAGAAAGAAATGTCGTGCTCGGCGGTGGACAATGCCGTGCCAGGCAGAAATGTCGTGCTCGACGGTGGACACTGCCATGCCAGACAGAAATGTCGTGCTCGGCGATGTACACTATCGTGCTAGACAGAAATGTCGTGCTCGACGGTGGACACTGCCGTGCCAGATAGAAATGTCATGCTTGGCGATGGACACTGTCATGCCAGACAGAAATGTCATGCTCAGCAGTGGACACTGCCGTGCCAGACAGAAATGTCGTGCTCGGCGGTGGACACTATTGTGCCAGACAGAAATGTCGTGCTCAGCAGTGGACACTGCCGTGCCAGGCAGAAATGTCGTGTTCGATGGTGGACACTGTCGTGCCAAACATAAATGTCGTGCTCGATGGTGGACACTGCCGTGTCAGACATAAATGTCGTGCTCGACGGTGGAAACTGTTGTGCCAGACAGAAATGTCGTGCTTGGCGGTGGATACTGCCGTGCCAGACAGGGAGGAGAGAGAAGAGAGAAGTGCGAGAAAGGAAAGTAAAAGAGAAAGAAGGGAAAGAAGAAGAGAGAAAGGAATGAAGAAGAAAGAGAAAGGAAAGAGAGAGAAAGGAAAGAAGAGGAGAAAGGAAAGAAGAAAAGGGAGAAAGGAAAAAAGAGAGAGAAAGAAGGGAGGGAGAAAGTTACTTGGATGGCTAAGGGTACCCGCTAGAATCTTCTCTCTCCTCTCTCTCTCTCCAAGAAGTGAGACGTGCCCCTCAAAAACTTAAGCAAAAGCATATTTTTTTATTGATCAAGAAGGGTCCTTGTACCATAGCATCACGTGCTATAAAGTTTAAGTCCAAATATGGGTGGATGCCCAATTCTTAATCTAATTGTGGAAAAATAAGAATTAAATGAATTAAAAAAAACTAAGAAATTAGGGGCAAAATGACGATTTTGCCCCTCACCCACAAATTTTGAAATTCCAATTAAGTCCCTATCAAGGCCATGCAACCTTTGCGACCTTCCGGAGTCCATTCGAGATCCTTCCGATCTTCATCTGGCCAAAAGATTATTCTTTTCGTGATCGGCTTGAAAAGACGGTCGTTTAGATACCTATTTCGAGACATGGATCGGACTTTTGGGCCACGATCACGAGACGTGAAAATCATGAGAAACATGTGATCTTTGATTCAAGATCACGCCCGTTTCTCAATGTTTTTCCACAATTTCTTCGCTGTATTTTGACGAGCATGCCGCCATGAGCGTTTGGCGACGAACGTGGCTTGATTTGGAGTCCGAACAACCATTTTCCAATTTTGGTAATTTGGCCGGAGTTCGGTTTCGGTGACTGGAAATTGCAACAACTTCGACAATATCATGCGGCTAATCTGACCGTCCATCACGTGCGAGGTTCGGCTCAGGTGAAGCCTCTGACCTTGTGCTCGCAATGAATCAGGTTTGAGGCCGATTTGACGTGCGAACGTCGTGATGTGGCCATTCGATAGAGGCACGCTCTTGCTGAAAAATCTGCAACCTTGCCTCGAATCGCAATCTTCTCTCTAGTTTTTCCCCCAGCTCGGGCCACAACATGGGTCGTGTCACATATCGAAATGCTCGGGTCAACGAGACAACCATGCTCCCAAAATTTGAGCTTGATCTGACCTGGGACAAGAGAAATATGGCCTTCCAAAATTCAGCCGAAACCCAAAAACACAGTTTCCATTAATGGAAACTGGTTCACTGAGCGTGCACGATAATAGCGTGAGGCCTACTCGTTTTGAGTAATTTGGCCATAACTCGATCCAAAACGTCTGAGCAAGCCTAACCTTGGTCCCTAAGGGTTTTCAGATGTCTCAGATCCAATGGCGGTGGTCCCACGGTCATTTGGCACTCTGGTGATAGGGTTGTAGTTATAAAGTCCATTTTTCAAGACGATAAAGGCCGATTTTTCAAAACCGTTTCTGCCTTTGCACTGCTTTAAATTCGTCGGAGATCTTGGCAGGTGTTCTTCGGAGACCTATAGGCAGGTTTCGGAACCTTCTTGGGCCACTTTGAGACTGTCGATAATTTCACTTCTAGATCAGGGCGTAGTGACCTACGGCTTCCGTAGTCCACAGGCATTTCGGAACCTGGGGCCTAGGTCGTAAATTGCTCTCTCCTTATTCGCATCGGGGACACAAGTGTTGAAAAATACACTTAAACACTCTTATCTTTCCTTCTCTCTTCTCCTTCTCCACCTCATCCTTATTCTTCTCCTTCTTCTTTCACATTTCAACTGCTCTTAGGAGGCTCCACCGAGGTTCATCCAGTTTGGGCATGTCCCATATTATTCGATCCTCAAGGCATCCTCTAGGGTGTTCATACTTTGGTTTGATACCGTTTTGTACCGTCGTTGATTCCTCCTAGAGGAGTTGGCGCCGAAAGGCTGTCGAACTGCTTACTTCTTCTTCTCTTTTCTCCTCCTTTCTTCTCCCTCTCTTCTCCTTCTTATCCTTCTCTTTCCCCGTTTTCATTTTCTCCTTGAACCAACCCCTACCGCCATCCCTCTATATCCATAAAGACCGTTCTGCGACGAGAAACCAGGGTCGCTGACCCATCATTTAGCCATCTTATTCATGTGTGTTTACCAAGGCGCAAAGTGAAGGAATGGAACCAGATCCGGACCGAGCCGTGAAGGCAAGGGAGTTTTCTATTTCGTGATCTAAGAGGGCTGCTCACACGCCCGAGCGCATCACGAACCCAACCCCGCAAGGTAGGTCCCACCTCACACCATTCTCAAACCTTTTCTCATTTGTTGGTTCTGGTCGTAAGGGCATGTACGCACAAGCGAGGGGCGTCCACACCCTGGTATCAGAGAGAGCGATCTCGGGCTGGGTCCTGTATCGGGTCCACGGGCGCGTCGAGATCGAGGGCCGACCACCCATATTTTCCAAAAATTATACAGGTGAAGTTTCCCATTTTAGTCCATGGCAGGTAATTATAGTGTCAGTGATACAACACTAAAATCCAAGGTTTCCATCCCAAGATAGCAACCCAAAACACAAAGATGTGCAAACAACCATGGTTAGTTGACACATAAGCATATTAGTATGAAAATTTGTACCTCTCAGAGAACTGGAAAACAATGCCAACCTTTTTTGATGATAATGTTTCAGGGGGTTGGTTTGGCTGCCCATCATTCCCATATTTCTGAGTACAAATGAAACCAGAGGTGGGCTTAGACAATCCAGCAAGGATCTAGGAAAATAAGACCAAAAGAAGAGTGAGCAGTGTCCATTGCATCATTCCGCATACACATAAAAACACAAACAAGGATGCATTGAGAAAGCAACCTGCAAGTGCGTAGTTTTTCCACTTCCACTCCTTCCATAGATCAAGCCCAAGCTGCAGTAGAAAGAGCATACCATTCACAAAACCACTTTTATTTCAAGAGAGCCCCTAACGCTTTCATTAAACAATTTGTGACAAGGATGTAGAGCGTTGTGTGATAGTTTGTATATTACGTCTGTCTATTGTTTTGGATCAGTCTTTTCTCAGCCATAATCTCACTATTCTTTAGCAATCAGTTGTCCATCCATAACCCATATTTCAGACTTTCATATTCATGTAAGCAGCCCATAAAGGCTATTCCTTTATTTTCCTAATCATGAGAATATGTTTTTATTATCTGTTTGTGGGCTTAACAAGGTATTTAATTGCACTAACCACAAAACCAAATCAGGCAGACTACATGGTATCCCTAGGATGTTTGAAGAAAATTTTCTAGGAAATCAAGTTTCAGAGCATATAATATTTTCAAATCATAAAATTCTATTTAATTTTCATATCTTAGGTCAAAACATAGTTACTGAGATCTCCCAACCTAGGTACTAATCAAGCACTAGGATCTTGCTCTAGTGCTCAAGGATAGGGATCTCCATGGGATCGTGATTTTTAAATTTTGGGATCTTGATCACCACATTTTAAGATCACTCCTAGGCGCTCGAAGGGGCAACAATAGGCTAAAAAGATTATTCATTTGGAACCTAATTGCGACCATATTATATACCTAACTAACGCTTTTGGATTTTGTAAAGTGTAAAATTGTAAATAAAGAAGATTGATATGCTTTTAGAGGTTCTAAAGTGGGAAATTATGAATAAAACAGATTTTATTAATAAAAAAATCAGCTCCCTTGTTTTATTCTCAATTGTCCTGATATTCCTCATCATTATATTCTTTTTATTACATTTTCTGGTATTATTGTTACATAAACTAAATCTCAAAGGAGTATAAAAATATTATTTACTACCTAAATAAAAATCAAATAGTTTTTGTTCTTTATTGAAAAAGTGTGTGATTGAAACCCAAAAACTATGGAATGATTATCAATTTATCATCTCATTATGGAAAACTCTCCTGGTTCCATTCTGCCCCCCCTCCCTTGGTCCCCCTAGTGTCATCTCTATTCCTTTGATCTCTTCCTCCAATCTTGCCAAACAATTCAGGTCATCCCTAGTGGGGGTCTTCTATCCCTAGAGAGACGACTCCAAGGGTATCGATATCTAGGCCAATGAAGGCTGGAAGGCGCCAGCCCTAAAGTGCAGACAACTCTCTAACGGGTCATTCTTGTTCTCTTTCCTTTCGTTGAGGGGGCCTCTATAGCTCTCAGAAGATCCTCAAGGGTCCATTTCAGGGGAGCCACCCTACAGCTTTCCAAATGGTCTGAAGACTGCCTTTCTTTGCCAAAAGGTCTGGCTCACAGCCACCTCCATCCCTCTCCACTCCTGATGCCTCGACACTTTCAAAGATATCAGAAATGCTTGCAGCTCCTTTGTGGAAGTTCACTGGCAATCCATGGAGAGCCTCCCGCTGGGGTCCTTACGTCTTACCTTTGATGTCCTTGACCCCCAAACCATACCACCCTTCCTTTGGCTTGAAGTCGTTGGTGCCTACGTTCAGGATTTTCTCTCTGTCTGCAGGATCCCCACCCTCTCCTCGTTTCGTTGCTCCGGTGAACTCACCTCCGACTGGCCCTACTTGCCAAATTTCGTCAGCGCTGTCTATGGACTCCCAGGAACCTTTGACAATCGTTTCCAGAAAGTGGTAGTCTCACAACCAGGCTCACGAAAACTACTTCCCTCGGAGACCTTCATTTCAAGGGGGCCAACAGTGCTTTCCCCAATAACCTGTTGGCCTCCCTCCACCACCTCCTCCTCCTCCACCACCTCTACCCCTGCCTGCATACCGCTCTGACTGCCATGAACTCGATTGCACCGACTCGGATCACCTTTTGGCTGACACATGTCGCGCTCAGGAAGTTTCAGGCATGGCCATTTCTGTCACTCAACCGCCACGTCACTTGCCTTCAATCAATGCTGCCCTGAGGCAGCCGCCCTTTGCTGCTTCTCTCGTTGTGCCTGCGTCCTTTCTGGACACCTCGGTTGTACCACCTACCCCCTCAAGCTCCACCCTCCTTCCTCGGTCTCAGGATGACGCTGACACTTGTCTTGTGCCGCCCTCATCACCTGCCACCTACGGACCTACCTCCCCCAATTCCCCTTCCAGGGCCTCTACTGTCATTGGTTTTCGTCACCCCCGTTCGACCCTGCCCACACTCATTCTCTTCGGCTCTCTGCCAACTTCGACGCTCATTCCCGTCACTAGACTCAACCTACCCTCCTTTTCGCCATCTCCTCTAATGATGGTCTCTAACACCAACCCCCTTAGAGCCTTCACCGCCCCTTCCCCTAACCACCTTTTCTCTGGCCTCGTCTTCTTCTCCCCCCAACCCTCCCCCTTCCCCTGCATCTTTTCTTTCCCCTTTTCACTAGGGACCTGCACCTGCTCCACCGTCCTCCCCTCTTATTGACTTCAGGGCTATTCCGGGTGATCCCGAAGAGACTATTAGTGATCCTCATCCTTCTTCGAACCCTGTTGAATCGCTTGGGACCACTTCGGATGACATGAACCCCCGTTTGCTCATCTCTCTTGCTCTTCCTCCTATGCTCGTCGGCATTATTGCCGACCCGCTCAATGGAGACCCCATCATCATTTCTATCCCTGTTGGACTCTCTCCTCCAATTCTCATTCACTTTCCCACTACCCCTCCTCAGCCCCCACCTCTATCACCCACCTCTTACCTCGAACCTTGCTTCTCGGGTCCACCCATCCTTGCTCTTCAACGTCCCCCTCCTCTTGCCCCTTGGGTTCGTTGTAGGCGCGAAACTCTCTTGTACCCTCCGCCCCCTCTCCAGGGGCGGCCTCACTCCCTTCTCTGCCTTTGCACACTTTACTTCTCCATCCCTCCACCCGCACCCTCCCTTTCGGTAGCTTCACCCCCAATCTCACCCTCGACCACTTCAGTGCCTACTCCATTACTGGCCTCCACCACTCCAAAAACCCCTTTGAAACCTACCCAGAACCACTCGATTTCTCAGAACCCTGAGCCTTTGCCTAGTTCACCCAGCTTGCCTTTGCCACCATCTCTAGGGGTCTCCTCTCCTCTTCCCTCTCTCTCTCTATCCACCGGAGTCTCCTCTCTTCTTCCCCCTCTTACTCTAGAAGACTTGGGCATCAACTCAGCAGCGGATCCCTTTGGTCTCACTTCAGGTATCTTCAGGCCCACTATAATATATGGGCCCCCTACTCTAGGTCTGTCAGCCTTACCGTCACCTTCAGTTGTTCCCTCGATGGTATCTTCTAAAGACTCTCTGTCCATAGACACTTTCGAGGATCCTCGCCCCCCCCCGATGGATTCAAATTATGTTAATGGCATCGATGCAGGCCAAGGCAGAATCCTCGACGCGATGCAAGTGATGGACTTCCCCCACAACGGATCCGAAGGACCATTCCTCCAATTCTTCAAAGACGACGCACAATCCAAGCAAGAAGGGCAGTGGCGAGGTCGTAAACTTGACAAGCAGCATCAACTATGATCAGTCGTCTTCCTCTAATCCCTCTATCTCTCCTCTCCTTGTTTAGGTGCCCTCCATAGGTTCTTGTCGAGACGTTCCCTTCGGAACTCTCCTCAATCTCTCACTCCTTAATGTTAATACTCTCTTGGAATGTCCTTGGGCTTAGCTTGCCCCATAAGAAGTAGGCAATCGAGGATCTATGCTTGAGACAAAACCCCACAATTTTGGCATAGACTGAAAGTAAATTACTTAACCCCACCTTGATTCAAGTCAGACAAGTGTGGGGACGCCAACCTTCTAAATGGGTAGCTCTCCCCACCGTGGGGGAATCGAGGGGCATTTGGGTGATTTGGAACCCTACAGCCCATGCCTTGGTTTTATCACATATAGTCAGGTTTTCAATAACCGTCCTACTATCTAAGATACCAGAGGGACTGCTGTGGAAATTCTCCATAGTTTACAGACCCAACCTAGACACTTACAGAACTTTGTTTTGGGATGAACTTAACCTAGTCGCCTTCCTACCTCACCCAATTTGGTGTATAGGCGGGGACTTCAAGAATCCTCTCTACTCACCCAATTCTCGGCCTGGTGGCAATCACTACCAACTCTAGTACTCGGTTGGGCAGGATTCAGAATTCAATGGAAACTTCAATTACTAAGGGCCCACCTAAAATCCTGAAGCAGGAGCCTTCCAAGGTTTCATGGACCACAAAAATAGGCCATTAAGGCCCTAGACAATCTTGAAGAATCTAGGTCTCTCATATTCTAAACTCCAGTAAAGGGGCCAACTTAAATTTCTTTACCAATCCATCCTCAAGAAAGAGTTCTTCTGGTATCAGAGGTCCAAGATCAAATGGTTGAAGGTCGGAGACCTCAATACAAGATTCTTTCATATGACCGCCAACTGCAGATGCAGAGACAATATCATATCCCACTTGTTGGTAGCGGAGAACCTTCTTTATCAACCTCTGGAAATAGAGCAAGCCATCCTCTCCTACTACAAAAATCTCTTTTTTGCTCCTTCAGGCCCCAAACCTATCATGAGGGACCTTTCTTTCCTGACGCTTCGCCCCGAGGAAGCTCACTAGTTAGCAAGACCTTTCTCGAAGCCTGAAATTTTAGCAGCCATCTCTCACTTGGATTCGGACAAAGCTCTTGGGCCTGACGGGTTCCCCATAACTCCTTTCAAACTGTTTTGGGAAACTTTTAAATAAGATTTCCTGATGTTCGTCAAAGAATTCTACTCGATGGGGGTTATTCACAGGGCTGTTAACATTATGCTCATAACCCTCATTCCTAAGGTTGAAGGAGCAACCCAGCTTATAGATTTTCACCCCATCAGCCTTGTTAACTCCACCTACAAAATCATTGCAAAAGTCTCGGCCTCTCGGCTCAAAGAGGTCCTCCCTTTAGTCATTTCTACCTCCCAGAGTGTATTCATCAAAGATCACTAGATCTTGGATGGGGCCCTGGTGGCTCACGAATGCATCCACTCTATGCACTTATTCAAAGAACCTGAAATCGTTGTTAAGCTCGATTGGGAGAAGGCATGTGATCATGTAGACTGGGATCTTCTTGAGGAAACCTATATCAGAATGGGCTTCAGTATTAGGTGGAGAACTTGGATAAAAGCGTACTACTCACATCCTCACTTCTCTATCCTCATCAACAGATCACCCAAAGGATTATTTCCCGCTTCCAAGGGTTTAAGAGAAGGGGATCCCCTTTTCCCCCTTTCTTTTTGTCATCTCAGCTGAGGTGTTCAATCAATCTATCTCAAGAATGTATGTAGCAAGACGCATGCACGGATTTAAGGTGGGACACCATGGCCCTACGGTCACCCATCTCCAATATGCGGACGATACATTAGTATTTTGCAACGCTATACCCGAAGAGATCCACAACCTCTTCCTGTTTCTCAAGTGCTTCGAATTTGTCATAGGCTTCAAAGTCAACTTTGACAAATCCAAAATAATGGGGATTAATGTAGACCCAACCACCCTCAAGGGTTTTGCTGAGTTGGGGTTGCAGGGCGAAAGATTTTCCCTCCAAATACCTTGGGTTACCTCTTTGCATAGATAAACCCAAAAAGTGGTTATGATCATTCATAGTTGACAAGGTGGACTGCAGACTAGTTGATTGGAAAGCCCGATTTCTATCTCAGGGAGGCAAACTTACTCTAGTCAAAGCAACTCTTGCAAACATTCCGGTGTATCAAATGTCTTTGTTCCATATGCATGTTTCAATCAATTCAAGGATAGAAGAGTTAATGAGAAGATTCTTCTGGTCGGAAGAGGCCTCTAACATCAGATAACACCTTATAGCATGGGATAAAATTTGTCTTCCTAAAAAATCGGGAGGGCTTGGGACTAAAAACCTCAGAAAGCAAAACTTTTCTCTTCTAGGTAAATGGTGTTGGCGTTTAACAACTTTAAGGGATCAGTTGTGGATCGACATCCTCAAGCATAAATATCGACTTCCCAACTCACCCTGGCTACCGGATTGCCAACCTACTAATAGATCCTCTGGGATATGGAGGTTGATTTGCGCGGCACACTAGTTGTTCAAATCTCGCATAAGGTTCCACCCAATAGCGGGCAGCCGTATTCTCTTCTGGAAATACCTGTGGCTAGGCCACACACCTCTCATGGACTATTTCCCTGACCTCTACTCTCTTGCTCGAGGTCAAGGAGCTACAATAGCAGAAGAGATGGTAATGGCAGGGTCTTTGCGATCATGGAATCCAGTCTTAAGAAGAACGTTAATGAGCTTGAAATCTCCCATTTTACTGAGTTGGCGGCAGAACTACAAGTCATCATCCTCTTAGCTCCTCAAGGTCCAGACCGCATTATTTGAACCCCATCAGCCTTCGGAATTTTTTCGGTATCCTCTTTCTACCAAAACTTATCACAGCCCCCTACTCTACCCGTAGCTCCAACTTCCACAGTTGCACAGTCCTGGGTCCTGGGTCTCCTTTGCCCCTCTCCCAAAGGGTGCTCACAGTTGATCAACTGCAAAGAAAAGGTATTCCTCTTCCTAACCGATGCGTATTGTGCTTGGCGGACCAAGAAACAAATGACCATCTCATTTTGCACTGCCCTATGCCTTCAATCTATGGGGGAGAATCCTTAGCCTGTTCAATATTCAGTGAATGCTTCCTGCTGAGATGCTATTTCAAAGGGGTACCCACCTCGGCCTTTATCCAAGATTGCAGTATCGTTCTTCAACATGACCACAAGCGTCCCCCCCGGGCATGGAATCTAATTGGAGACCTCCTCCACAGGGCCAACTTAAGCTTAATTTTCCCTAGAAAACCCAGGTCTGTCTGGAGCAGGAGCCAGCATCAGAGACCACTTCAGTACTACTGTGGCTTCAATTTCCAAACAGATTGTCCATGCCAACTCAATGGAGGCCGAGGCCGTAGCACTTTTGGAAGGGCTCAAGCTCATTCAAATGCTAACTCTACACTCCATAACTGTTGAGGGAGATTCCAAGAACACTATTTTTTGGGCCCCAAGGCCTTCTTCTTCACCCCGCTCCCCCCCCCCTTGGTTCCTGGAACACATTTTTGACGAGATTGACTACTTTCACAGGGATATGCTCGTCTTATGGAGACATACCTGGTGGGAAGGAAACAAGGAAGCTAATGCCCTAGCTAAAGAAGAGGCTACCATGGCTGGAAACTAGTAGAAAATTTTTTGGTTTTTGCTTTTTGTTCTTCTTTGGATTTTTGGATCAGCATCTTTTTTTGGGTTGCTGTTTCATTATTGTAACCTTCTAGAAGAAGGCTTTTTTTATTCTGCCTTTTTTATTTTACTTACTCCCCTAGAGCATCCGCCCTTGTGAATCGCCTAGGTCTTTTGCACTTCTCTCCTTCTTACGATTAAAAGTTAACATTATCAATAAATATATAAAAAATCAATCAATAAATAATTATTTTCTATTGGCCCTTTTGACTATATTTTATGGGAAATTGGATTTTTAAATTTTTTTTAAATACCTAATTTTCTTAATATTTCTATTTTTATTAATCAAATTATGGTAAGGACATGCTCCACACCTAGGGAGCTTCTAGCCTGTGACATGTCCTCACTCTCTCACCCACTACCGCTCACTCTCCCCTGCTTCCACCAACTATGGGTCACAGTTTGGCCATTGTTCATATCTGAGTATCAAGCAGATTCTCAACAGAGTTTGCACGACTGGTTGACTATCAAGTATTAACCAAGAAAAGCCCGATGAGCAGCAAGTGTAAGACCTAATACGGTGAAACTGGATGAATATCAAGTAAGATCTAATATGGTTTCTTCAAATTTCATGTGTATGCCAGAGTTCAAAGATAAGAGTTGCAGATCCGATTTAGAATTCATAGAATCCGAGAATTTTCGTAATGAGTCAGAAAAGAAAAAAATGAACTTATTCTAAAAGTGGTTGATCAGATGTAAGCAATCTCTGTTAAAAACAATGGGAAAATTAGTTTCACAGCAATGACAGCAACAAAATTGACATGTCCAAGGACATACAACTTGTTGACATATCCCTGAATTGTATCTGTTGCATCGCCTTAGCAAAGCTAAAGGACTTCAAATTGAGCCACTTTTCAATTTGAGGGAATTGAAGCTTAGCATCAAGTTATATGAGAGAATTTGCCTTGTGCTGGAACTAAGGACTATGATCTCCAACAGGATATTTAAGCTTTTGGAACAAGAAATAATTGTAAAAGTAAAATGCAGGTAAGAAATCCACCATAGGGAAAATACTAATATTAGAAAACGAGTCATTTTCTTAATGACCTTTTCTCTGGCAGAGAGAGACTAACTTCATTTAAAAGGTTGTGCTGGGTTCCAGGAGGTCGATAATTTACATCCTTGACCTTCAACAAACCAGTTCAAATGGCATATACAGTCAATATCTCAACCAAAAATATATTGATTCAAAAGAGAAATGCATAGCGATACATAATAATAGCGACACCAAGGGGTTGTTGTACACTGCACAGAATTGCAAACAGTATTATATGGCCAGTTCATTAGAGAATAGTAGAAAAACTAATAAGTGTAAGAAAACTTGGTGACTCCAACTCAGACTCGCCTAGGATACTCAAACTCAGCAAGCTGCTGAGTCCGGAACCAAAACGTCTGAGTATGGGCTTGCCAATATTTCATTACTTTTCTGTTTTGGACTGGGCCGACACTGTAACAAACCTGGCCGAATCTGTCAGACCTGGCTCAGACACAGGACCCCGCAAGTCCCAACCCGAGTACATGTTTCCCAACATTGGTTTAAAATGAACAGGTAGTGTCAATAAGGTGAAATAAATCTCAAAAGATGAAATAAAAAAATTCTAGTTCTCCACATCAAATATCTCAAATAATTCTTGCAAGGAAATATAACTTCAACAGTCAAAAGGAATCAGAACCATTTCATGAGTCTTCTTAAAAGAAAGAAAAAGTGAATGAGTTCATAAATGAAAAATTGGCATTGCACTTATCATTCAAATTAGGGAGAAACTAAAGTGCTGATAATGATGCAAATGCTGAACAGGACAACAAAAGCACATGGGAGACATGCAGATGATCAATGATGAATTTTCAATAGAATTGGAACAAATAGTGGAGTTGAAGGTCCTTAAAGCATCTAAAATAAGCGGATTTTGATGATATACACTGTGGGTAAGACTTAGAAAGGAGTTCAAGTTTTACTTAACCTTAAACTTTCTACCAAACAAGTATACTGTCTCTAGAACCACTCCCATGTCAATTGCAAGATCTGTGTATCGGATTGCACCACTAACCAGGAAATATCTTCAATGAGTGGTCCTGTGGCAATTCGGGAAGGGCAGGCATTGGCAATATCTTAAGGAATAGCATAGCTGCCACATTATTGTTTTTTTAGGGCCGTCGAGCAATGCAGCATCGACTGCAACTGATGCGAAGTTCCTCCTTGCAGAGCTCAAGCTGTTTGATCAGTCATGGGGCTCTCCATTGGCAGTTGAGAGAGACTCCAAGAATGTTATGAATTGGTCAAACAGGATGTCCACTTTTCCCTGGAGTTTGGAGCAGATTTTGGAAGAAGTCATCGAGCTTAGCGGCTTCCTACAAATATGTTTCCATCACATGGACAGAGGCCAATGCTACAGTGGCTATCCTTGCAAAAGAGGGGGCATCCCCAACCATATTTTGTAATATCCACCCACAGTAAAGGTGCTTGCTTTTTGGGTTCTTTTATGTACCTTCTCTTTCCCGTTTTGGTCTGTAACTGTAGAAGATTGACTTTTAATATAAGGAGTTACCTTCTCTTACAAATAATAACTGTGAATTCTCATCATTGTGCATAGGGTGTGGTTTGTATAAGACTGAGGCCCTAAACAATCAAAGTATGACGTACCTTGAAAAAGTGTCGAAAGATGCTAATGTTATTTTAGTATTGAATATCTTTGTGATGGCCGGAGAATCTATTTTCATCTCTAATTGTAAAATTTAAAGCTTCAAAAATAGTGTAGGTCGAGCAGATCTATGAACACTTGATAATCTTGAAAATTGACTTTCTAGAAAACGCATTACAAGATGCACATCATTTTTTTATCATGTTCATACATCTTGTGGTCGATATAATCGATCTGAGGATTTTTGGGCATCGAAAAAACCTCAGAATTTTTGAGATGTGCCTTGATTTGAATGTTTAGGGCCTCACCCTTATATAAACTTTTTCCTTATACATATAGCAAATTGGTATGGCACTCAATTTGAAAGAAATGCTAAGGTTCATACATGCATCAACATTTGTTTCTTATTCTTTGATTGTGATTCTACATATGTATTCCAAGCATCTAACATGGATATGCCATCCATTGGGGAACCATGCATCACAAAAGCAATGTTACATCAAAAGAGTGGAATATATCAAACTAGCAAAGGCTGCCAAAGGCATTGAGTTAGAAAAGATTATTAATGGCTAGAAGTCAAAAATGCTGATAAAGGCCATTGAGGTTAAAATATTAAGGCCTATTTACATAAAAAAAAGACCAATAGGACATACAATGAAGCCATGAACATGCTAAAATCTATTAATAATGACTTTACATTCTGAAAGAAGATTTGGTTATGGTGACCGGTGACTGGTGAGAAAACAAAGTTTTAGTTCCTTGGGCCATGTAAGAGCCATATGGCACAAAAAGGTAATCCAATTTCGGTAAGCCTTTATCTGAATCGTAGTTCAAAACCAAGTCGGTTCAATGAAGGCGACTGCGAAAGTCACCGAATGGGTCTCCCTGCAAAGTGCATTAATATGAGGCGTGGGATGCGAGGACTTTGTAGACGTCCGGGATGGACCGATCCTTCTGCCTATGTGAAGCAAGTGACTCCGCATGAACTTGGAGACGCAGAGCTAATGCAAATGTAGTATAGGGATGCAGGAGCTTGTTTTACTCCCGCCCCTATCTGTCCCAAAGCGACAAGTCTCTGTTCAAGATAGAGGTCTTCCAAGCAGGAATAATTTCACTTTATTCATAAAGGAATATAGAGGAGGGATATACAAGCTGGTCAGAAAACCAAGCATCTATTTGACCAAATCGGGTCTTATGTGACCGAGTTTTTTTTTTGTATCTCAATAGAACATGGTTTTCAAAGTAGTTAAAAAGGTAACAATATCATATACATGGGCCATTCCTCAAGGTGGAAATTATGTACATCGCCGTCTTCCCCAAATATTTTGCCCTCATGTAGAGCCATAGGTTAAAGCAGTATCAAATGCCTTCTATATTAGGAAGCTAAAAGCTCTATGTTTCATCAGTGTCAATTGAAAATGATTCGCCAACTAGCTTCTCTGACTCTTTTGCTATCCATCCCCGATCTTATATCACGGCTGCTCATCAGGTTTGGTTGATCTGAACCATATCTAGGTCTGGACCCTCAAAGTGGACTAAGAGATTCAAGTCGGGGCACAACGACACGGATCCGACCTGTCCAAAGCAAGTAATACATATATATACATGTCCTGGTAAGGCCTGAACGGGCGAGGTCGAGTACGGGGCCGGTTGCCCCCAACTTCCACTCCAGTTTCGTGGTATTCGTTTTCGGATAAAAAGCATGAACCAAGACATCTCGCCCATTTTAACATACCGATTTGCTTGATTTCATTCTCCAAAAAGGCTTTTAGAATTTTTTTGGTTATATCTTACCAGGAAGAGAAAATGAGGGGGAGGAGGAATATATTATTCAAAAATGAGAATCCTAAAATGCAATTCCAAGATACCAGTAAATATTACGCTGCCACAGAAAAACCCACTAAAGAGTGAAACTAATCAAAGGTATGGACAGTAGAAGGGACTCAGCTTTCAATAAGATTCCAATTTTAACAAACGAATGGGTCTTTATCTTAGAGAGAGATTTATTTGAGGATACTTCAATAAACTTTATGCAGGGAAAAGCCAAAAAAACCAGCATAACCAACTTCCAGAAACAGAGAGAAAAACATAAATCCTAGAGCAACATAGAGCTTCACAACCATTGAGAAGAAGGCCCCAAGATCACGGATAATGCCCAAAACAAGCTAGTTTTGCTAAATTTCCTATATTTCTCATCCGATAAGGAAAACAATAATTTACTCAAAAGACATATGATCAGATTTAATTCTCAATTTATTGAAATTTCTGAACCCACTGAAAAGTGAACAAGAGCAACCAAAATCAATTACTCTCATTAGAGAAGAAATTCAGAAAATAGAGAGAGAGAGAGAGACCTGCATGAGAGAGAAAGAGGGTTCCTCCGCAGAAGTGTGGGGATGTCGGAGACGGTTGAGGGGAAGGGAAGGAAAGTTTCCATAGCCAAGGTTCCTCCCTCCTTTCCCTCAATTAATTGTAGAGCAAAATGAAGAACCCTTGCATCAAAATTACCAATTTGAAATGGATGCTCAAACAGCATTTCAACTTCCCCAGGAAGACCTGGGTTGAGTAAGTGGACTATAATCGCTTGGAACTTCCAAGTTGAACTTGGAAGTATGTCATTGTGTGGGGACAATAGGGATCATAGTACGTTCGGGTTCTCACACCGTCCCATGAAGCGATGAATGGTGGAAAGAGGGGAACTCACAAAACGGATCAAGTCTCTCTCCCTCAGTTGTTGCGCACATGTTTCACCCGAGAATGACGACTGCTATGGAATGTGACATTTTCGCATTAACAATATGACATTTTCGTATATAATGAGTTGGGAGCTCATTTCATCGCCTCTAGCTCAACATATCTGAACTTGACTCGCTCATCTTTGGATAGCCCGTATGGACTGCGACTCTCATGAATTCAAGAATGGTAGCTGAACTTCTTAAGGGTAAAACGGCCTCGGCTCCATAAACCAAGGAGTATGGCTTAGCTTATGTCGTGTCTGTTTTGGTAGCATGATTGGCCTGCAAGGCTTCCGAGAGCTCTTGTAGTGTGATTGTCTCTCATAAGCCTATGCTTGGCTTGTCATCTTTGGATTATACATGGAGGAGTGTTTCTAATCAATACGAAACGGGTTGACCACATTGCGTGATAAGGTCAAAAGTGTACCATTATATGCGACGATCCTATTTGGTACCTCAATCCTGTAATGATGTAGTGAAAAACGAAATCAGGAACGTAGGTCACAAGGATGCAGCCTCCACCTATTTTGAAAAGTTGTCGGTAGCTGCCAATATGTAAAAGTGACCACTGGCTGATGATGGGGTTATTGGTTCAAAGATATCCATCCCCCTATCGGAAAATGGCCACATCATAACTATCGGAAGCAAGAGTTCAAGGGCTTGATGTATGGAGTCCCCATCTATGTAGTAAGCCTGGCATTGTTGAGTGTAGTTCATGAAGTCACTCACCATCATCGAACAATAATATCCGAGTCGCTAAGGTTTATCATAAAGCTTGGGACCCTACTAGTGCATCTCACATGCATCCTCCAACATGCACTTCTTCTTTTGCGATGCGTGCATCTTCTTCTAAGAGACATCGTAACAATAACCCATAATTAAATCTCCTGTAGAAGACGTTATTCATGATTATGAATCATGTGACACATCTCCTTAGAGTCAGCCATTCATTTAACAATAACCCAACTATAGGGCATTAACTCGGGCTTCCTCACCTCATCAAAACCTTTCAACCGGCGCACTACAAGTTTTGAGTCATCGGAAGTCTCATAGGACTTCTATGTCCATTTCGACACCAATGATGAGGGCATGATACTTAGCCTTATTATTTAAACATTTCTTTTATGAATAAAAAACATACGACAACAACCCCCACGTGTTACAATGAGAACTACTCAAGACATTTTTTTTTTTTTTCTTAAGACATACCATTAAAGAAAATTGCTAATTTGGTTCTATCGGCACACATAGAGCTTCCTCATCTGGGAGATTTTAAGTAAAAAGAAACTCTTCCTTGATCTTTCACAACCTTATGTGGGACATAGGAGATATCAAACTCCATCAAAAGCAGTGGCCGTTTAGCGAAGGATCCTAACAAATTAGGTTAGGTCTAGGGGAGGTTGAGGTAACGGCATACATGGGGATCTGTTCGTAAGATGATGAGGAAGTCGGGGATGGTGATGGGAAAGGTGTTGGGATTGGGGTCCACGACAACATACTGTATAGGCTTTCATTCATCACGGTGGCAAAGGATATTGTGATAGAGAAAAGAAGCATTGCCAAGTCATCGCTGGTTGGTTCCTTTTGACCGCTTTTAATGATTTATTTGGTCTACAAGATTGGCCAAGAAGAGCTTGGTTCATACCCTAGAGAACCAGCTATTAAAAGGCTCGTGGAAGGACGTGTATTGTTTATATTGGGAAGTGAAGGAAAACTTTTAGAGTCATTAAAGAGCCTTCTCATGGTGGACCAAGTCTTAAAAAAATGGGTCGGTGACTCAAATTGGCTATACCCATATCTATGTTGGATCGGGGAATCGGTAGATCAGATCTGAGAATCGGCAGAATCGGATATTTTTATCTCAAAAAATATTTAAAAAATCACTGTAAATCTATAAAAATAGTGTTTTTTTAGTTGCTAAAAGAATTTAGGAGTGGTGTATTATATAATTTCATTACTTTGTAAAAATATATGAATACTGAGAGGTTGTTTTTCTGTCTAGATGTCTGTATAATTATTAATTGTAATATAGTATTCTAATGTTACATCAAAATAATTTAAACATATTAGAAAATACTTTCATATTATACGATTAAAAAAATAATTTCCCATATAAAGTAAAATTAGTATCACATCAAAATATCAAATATTTATTAATTTGTTTTACTCATCCAAAATTATCACAACCTAACTAACTATAATATTATATATTTAAATTTAAATTATTGGTTTATAACTTCATATTTTATAATTATTTTATTATGCAAATAAAAACAACTCTAAAATGTCTTATAATATCATCTAATTTAAAAAATCTTAATTACAACTATAAAAAAAAACAATACATTGCATAATTTATAATATAAATAAATTAATAAAGAAAATACAAGAATTAGTTATCAATGTATAATTATTAATTATAATATAATAATAAACATGATTTAAAAATTATTGGAAAATGCTTCTGTATCATATAATTAAAAACAGAATAAAATTATTAATTTTTATAAATTAATTATATAGAATTTCTTTATATAATTTTATGTAATTAAAATTTAACTATATGTACTTTTATTTTATGTAGATTATAAAAAAGGAAAATAAATATCATTAATCTAAAAAAAATTATTTTGTAGATTATTTCATGTAGATGAATATAAGTAAGAGACAGATAAAATCAATCAAGCATAGACGAATTTGCCCTAAATGATTTATTGAAAGCTTTATTATGAAGTAGGGCTTTTGTGTTTACCCCTTCACTACTCAAAATGATTTATTCACTACAAAAAAAAAAAAAAACTCAAAATAGCTTATTAAAGACCTCTACAATTACAAGGAGCAAAATATCACCACTAAGCATCTAATGAAACAATGATGAACTTGTCCTTGGAAGGAAATGTAGAAGGTTGAAAATAATCCCATATCCAAGGATTTGGGTAGACTATTCCACTATAAAATGGTGACCTCAATGTTAGTAACAAAGCAAATATACTTATGAGTTAAGCATGATGTCAGGTGCACCCTCCTGATGGATGAGGTCAGTGTGATGTAAATGCAATACGTGGGGCCCAACCCCAACATTTTTTATAACAAAATTGGTTAACAATTACATTTCTTTGTAGCGACTCAAAGTCCATGACGTGTAGAGGATCGCCGGGTCATGATGTCATTAATCTAGCAAATCATCCGGATCTTGTTGTATTAGTGGATCCGAAACGATGCCATCGATTCCCAATCCGGATTGGGTCACCAATTTTTAAAATACCGATTAGGACATTGGAAGCTTAATATTTGCCCCCTCCTATTTTCATTTCAAGGTAGTTTCGCTCAAAGTCTAGGGTAAATTACTTTATGCTTAGAATTTAGGGGGTTTTTAGAAGATTGTCAATTTATATGAAAAGTTCTTAAATTTTGATTGGAGCATGGATATTCTTTGAGTTTTATAAGGTCTAAGGTGAAGAAAAAGTGGGTTGTAGTGTCTTTGATAAGATTCAATTAATGGTTGAAGATGAAGATGAAGTTATTTTCTTTAATATTTCACATGATAGGGGAAGTGATAAAAATCATGTTATATCTCTTTGTTGGAAAAACTGACCCAATGGCCAATCGAAAGCAAATAAATAAACGAGAACCGAGTATCATACTTGAGTGCTCGCAAAATAACTTCTAGTAAATGAGTGTGGAGATGAATTATCAACTCACGTAGGCATGTTCTACAACTACTAAAGCTGTCGAAATCTATTCTACACCGCAAATCCTAAGCGAGGTGGAAGCTTACGAATACTCCAATAAATACGGTATGAGAAGCAGTCCAAACTAGACTCTCTCACGCCTAACTCTTGCTCTTAGGGTTGGCTTTATCCTTAGAACTCGTATGGGAGCGGGATTGTGCTCTCACTCACACACACTTTCTCTCTCTCATTAGTAGCTCCCACACATTTCTCTTGTGTGTGTATTGTTGTGTGTAGAGAGCTCCACCCCTCCCCCTTTTATAGTCAGAGAAAGGCCCCCTCATTCATGTGAGAAAAAACCTCTTATAAATGGGCACCCTAATGGTGTATGGTGCATGCTATTCATGGGAGGGTAACCCCCTCATGATGAGCTCAAACCTCTCCCCACCTCCTTCTCATGAAGGAACGTAAGTCACTTCATGAAGGGGGTGTGGTCAACTTGGGTGTGCTCTCACACTAGGGATACACCTTCATATCTATATCTTTCACTCATCCCATATGTGGGAGGGGTTACATGCTCAAATGAGTATTGTCATTCATTAGTGCATTGTAAGTATTCTAAAGGAAAATGTGGTGTGCGACCTATTGGAGCGAACATTTTGTTAGATAGAACCATACCAAGTTTCCAATCAATTGGCATAGAACACCCCATCTCTCTAATTCCTGCAAAATAAAAAATTGCTCCACCTGCCCTAGACCCGATTTGACCACATCGATCTTAAGTTCTCAAGTAATCCCTCATGAGCCCAGATTAGAAGATTACTTAGCACATTCCTACACAATTACTTTCAATGTGCGCGTAATGCATATTGTTTTCTTATGGTATCAAAACAGAGTGTGATATCAAATGATCTTCCCTTACAACATACACTATTCTTTTATGAACCGACTATTCTCTCAACATGTTCCAAATGAGTCTCATACTTAACCCTGAGGAGTACATGTCAAAGTGAATGATCAAAACAAAGTTTATTAATGCAGTCTAAGGTCTATGAGGGCATCATAGGTCACCTACTTACTAGCCTCGTATAGTATAAAAGAAGAACATGGATCATCTTTTTCCACATATGTAGATCTTTTGGTCACTAATATAGCATGTGTGGTATGTATCACACGTCATGGTGGATCACATCAAATGTGTGTCAGAATCACAAAATATAGTAACAAGCTCATTAGCAGTTGTGACAATGCCCCAGTTCCTTAAGAATCTCCTCAACCAAACGGCTTATTGTGCTGCCCCAATGTATTCATATTTCATAGTGGAGAGAGTGACACACGACTACTTCTTGTTGTACCATAAGACTGCACCGCCTCCTAGCAAGAAGACATAGCCTGAAGTCAATTTACGTTCATCTAGGTTTGCTTCCCAATCAGCATCACTATATCCCCATAACTTCAAATCGGTTCCTTGAAAACAT